GCCACCGGTCCTTTTGGTTGCCACAGGTTTTTATCAAATTGTTCCAAGACCCACAGCGTTTATCTGAATATAATTTGTATTTTGTTTTTAATGAACCAAGCCAATTTTCACGATGAACATTTGATAAACTTCTTCTATACAATCTCTCAAGTTTTCTGCAATATCGTTTGACCCGTAGGCAATCATCATCAAACCATGATACATTTCTATGAATTCTTTTGCAAATCACTCTTAGCGGCACACATCGGTCAACAATGCCTTTTAATTCCATATTGAACAATTTTAATTCATTCTCAACATTTTCACTTTTGCATGGTCCAGATATTGGAGAATTTGCAATTGACTGAACAATCTGATCTTCATCCACATTTCTCCACGATCTTACTGTCTGTTTGGTTGTTACACATCTATGAGCAATTGATGCCTCAACCTTTACAAAACCATGATCTGAAAATATTCCACTTATTCAACTCCCAAAATCGGAAAATTGCTTGAACTAATAACCAGATCAAGAATACCACCTTGCTCGTGAGTTGGTTCATGTACATGACTGATCATTTGAAATGCATCAAGTATTTCATTCAAACGGACTGTGTGTATGTCATTAACTCTTTCAATGTGCACATTGAAATCCCCCATCATCAAAATATTGGCATTTAACATCGTAACATATTCTAAAACAGATATCAGTTCATCAAAAAACAAAGAAGAAGTTTGTGCAGAGCCCGGTCTGTAAATGGCAAGTAAAATAAACTGATACCCACTAGTCGAAAACCTGATGGAAACAGCCTCAAATATGGCAAATAATGGCAAGACTAACTTTTTATATCCAAAATCTTTACGGAAATATACAATTAAGCCACCATGACCTGGATCGTGCTGCCTAACATAATCAACATACCAGAACCCAGGTGGCATAGCCAACCGAACTGAATTATTACCAACCACACCATGCCAAGTCTCAGTAAGCACCAAGATATCAAGCCCATCACATATCAATCCATAAATACCATTCACCTTAGACGCAATTGATCTCACATTCAACAACCCAATCACCACTTTGTTAATTTGAGTTTTACCATCAATAACATTTCTCCACGAAGCACAAGAATTATTTTTTACCAACCCAATTAAACCATATATAGAACCACACCTATCATTTGCTAGTTTAATTTTGTGTCCTTCTGAAACCACACTATTTTCCACCTTCCAACCTCTCCTATCACTCGATATAAAAAACCTTGCTTGCAACCCTCCTCCGCCTCCTTGGCTTCTTTGAGCAACTTTTTAAGTACAGCTCTTTGATCGATTTAATCAAAATTGGTCTAATAGCGTTGTCATTTTTTTTTGCCCAACCTCATCATTTTCAGAACATTTTTTTCTCCGCATACCCCTTCAGTCAAATGATCCAATATTTGGCAGACTCTTGCATTGTCGTCTGATCCTTCCTTCAAATTGAACATTATTATATTAGCTTCTCTTTCCTTATTATCGACGACATCCTGCAACTTTTTTTGAACAATTTTCACGTCCTGATTAATTGATTGAACGCCTTTTTTCATCTCACCACTAACGACACTGGCAAATGACCTATTTAATTCAGACTTCAAACTAGCAATCTCACCAGATAGCTTGGCACCAGATATATCTATATGCGTAAGTTTGCTTTCATTTCCATCAATAGCGGCTCTAATTGCAACAACTTCAGATATGATTTTTTTATTTACGTCATTTAATTTTTTCATTTCTTCTATATCTCTGAT